TTGGTATTAGAGGTGCTGAATGGTTAGAATCAAAATGACAATACCTTATTTAAGGAGGTTGTGGATCAACAGGGACAATCTTCTGTTACCTCTTTGGTAAACTGGTTGACATCCATGACTAAAGCTAAACAAACAGACCCTGTCACTCACTCAGCAATTCCTAGAATTTTTTTTTTTAAGAGAATCTTGCTGTGACCCAGACTGGAATGCAGTGTGGCACCATCCTGGCTCACTGCAACCTCTGTCTCCCAGGCTCAGGTGATCCTCAGCATCCCGAGTAGCTGGGACTACAAGCGTGCACCACCATGCCTGGCTAATTTTTGTATTTGTTTGTAGAGATGGGGTCTCCCATGTTGCCCAGGCTGGTCTTGAACTTCTGGGCTCAAGCAATCTGCCTGCCTCAGCCTCCCAAAGTGCTGGTGATATGAGCCGCTGCACTCAGCCAGTTCCCAGAATTGTGTACACATGAATGATGAGCCACAGAAGTGTTGTTCATAATTGGCCTCCACACTGAACAAACAACCTACATGCCCAACAACAGTGGGGTCAGCCCCGTGTATTTCCACCACACAGTATTACGCAACAATGAAAAATGAATAAATTACAGCTACATATATAAATAACATGAGTGCCCCTCAGAAGCAAAACATTGTGCAAATGAAAGCAGTTACAAAAACACTCTTACCTTACAATTCTACTAGTAAGCTGGTAAAACTACAGTGTTAAAAGTCAAGATGGGGGTTATCTTTGGGGTGGTGTCTTAGTCAGTTTGGACTGCTAGAACAAAAATACTGTAGCCTGGATGGCATAAACCACGATCTATTTCTCACAGTAACGGGGGCTGGGAAGTCCAAGGTCAAAGCGCAGGCAGATCATGTGTCTAATGAGGGCTTCCTGATTTGTGGATAGCCAACTTCTTGTTGTGTCCTCATATGACAGAGAGAGGGGGAGAGGGACAGAGAAGGGAAGCAAACTCTCTCACTCTCTTCTTATAAGGGTGCTAATCCCATTATGAAGGCCCCATCCTTGGGACCTAATTACCTCCTAAAGACCCCACCTCCTAAAACCATCACATTAGGGGACAGAATTTCAATATATGAACTTTGGGAGTCACAGCTGTTCAATCCATGGAAGTGGAGAGAGAGGGGAGAGAGGGAGGCCTCGAGAGGTGGCTAGTGCCCTTTCCTGACTTGGTGGTTAGATGAGTGTTTACTTTGTGGTCGTTCTTCAAGCTGAACATTTAACTTTTGTGCAGTTGGCTTGGGCTGCCATAATAAACATGACAGGATAGGTGGTATAAACAACAGAAATGTACTGCCTCCCAGTTCTGGAGGCTGGAAAGTCCAACATCAAGGTTCTGGCCAATCTGATTCTTGGTGAGGTCCCTTCCTGGTTTGCAGGCAGCCACTGTCTTGCCATGTGCTCCCGTAGGCACCTGGGGAGACAGTGGGCAAGCTCTTTGGTCTCTTCCTATAAGGGCACTAATCTCTCCATGAATACCCCACCCTCATGGCCTTGTCTAACCCTCATCTCCCAAAGGCCCTACCTGCAAACATCATCACATGGGGGGTTAGGGCTTCGGCATGTGCATTTGAGGGGACATGGTGCGGTGCACAGCCCACTTTCCATGCATGTTCTCTCCGTCAATTACAACAAGTTGGGGGCACAGAAGCACAGGGAGACACAGCCTGGTGGGGTTGTCAGAAGGAGGGGAGTATGTAAACCTGCTGAGAAGTGGCAGCGGAAGGTGGTGCCACTGAAGTAAAGGGAAGCGTGTTGTCCACAGGGTGAGACTCATGAGAGCCTGGCACAGAGAGAGGCCAGCATGTGTCCACTGGCTCCAGAAACAGGAACGTCATTCTCATGGCCTGTGACACAAGTTTCTTTTCTGGGGTGGGATGGATGGCAAGAAGCCAGGTGGGAGGGCACGGCAGTGAGTGAGGAGATGGCGAGTGTATCTTTTGGCACTGTGGTTGTGAATGGCAGAAATGCAATGCACTGGTGGCTGAAGGGACATGGAGTGAGGACAGCTTTTGAATGTGGAAGAGACCCAAGCAGGCTTATGCTGTGGGAAGCATCTGGAGAGATGCTGACAAGTTTCACCTTATTGAGCTGTCCTCTACACTCACCTTTATAAAATGGCACCACCTCCTCCCCGTTCCTCTCCATCCCTGCATCCCGCCTTCTCCTCTGTACCAGTCATGGCCCACACAGTTCATGCTCACTTTGTGCTGTCCATCTCGCCCCACTGGGAGGCCAACTCCATGGGAGCAGAGCATTTCTTGATTCTGTCTTCCACACTACCCTAGAGCTGGGAACATGCCTGCACATAGTAGATGCTCAATAAACATTCCTCATGAATGAATGAAAGTACAGAGAGGAGTCTGTACAGAGAGGCTGGGGGTGGCAGGATCTGGAGCTCAGGCTTCTGTGAGCGGGGGCAGGGCTGTGTGCAGATACAGATGAGGAAGCAGCAGATTGTGTGATTGAGTGGGGGTCGGGGGTGGGCAGGGGGCTGAAGGAGAGTCCTTGGTTCTGCTGGAGGGAGAGGGCTTCCAGGAAATGGAGGAGACAGTCTGGAGGATCCCAGCCACTACTTGTGGTGGGGGTGGGACAGGATGGGGTGGTGAGGGGTGACAAGGGGATGGATGCAGGCCTTGGGGCCCAGTCAGGTTGGAAAGACCACCCACTGCAGGGTCCCCAGCACGGCTCAGAAGCTGACGAAAGGGATGATTTATTGTGTCGGGCCAAGTGGGGCTGTTTACATTGCAGTCCAGGACATCCCGGGAGATGAGGCTGATGCCAGCATAGGGCGGGTGTTTTGGCAGGATTGACAGATGGGGAGAGGGGACCTCTCCATGATCAGAGAGGGAGACTGACGAATGTGCAGGAGGGTGGGCCTTAGCATGATAACAAGAGAGCTCACAGGAGGCCTGGCCCCTGCTGAGCAGGACTGGCCACCCAAACCCGTGGGGCCACTCCCACTCCTGCCATCACATGATGATGAGGTTGTGCCTAGGCTGCCTCGTGGTCAGGACTTGAACCCAGCTTGTCTTTCTCCCAGCGTAGCCATTTTGCTGGCCCCTGCTAGAGAGGTGAGGGGGTGTGGACAGAGAGTGGGGGGCTGGGCTTAGGATGTGAGGTGGGGGGCATATGAGCGGACAGGTGTGAGAGAGAGAGGAGAACATGCCAGGCTGGTGGGTGGGGGCCGATGTGGGTGTCATTCACTTTCCTACGGGATAGAAAGCGACAAAGAACAAGCACATCCTTCCGGCCCTTGCATTTACCTGGTCTTTGAATGGAGTCTGCACGCCTGGGAGATTTTGGCTTGTTCCACAGTGAAAAGGTGGAGGCTGTGAAGGGCAGGGCACCTGCCAAAGCAGGTGCTGGCAGGGCCCCGGGGCCTCTCCCCAGGCCAGCCCTTGCATGACACCCTGCAAAGTGCTGATAGGGCTGGTGGGGACCTTTCATCTCCTCATAGGTCCATTCTGGGGATTTCTAAGGCACGAAAGCCCAGCTGTAGCTTCAAAAACTCCCTCTCATTCTCCAAGAAACCTGAGATGGCATCACCTTCCCTTGTCTTTCCCACAGCCCCACTCTCCCTGCCCCAACACCTTTGGACTCTCCTACTTCCACTGCAGTTTGGGGAGCTGTCTGGAGTTCTCCCAAAACCATTTGAAACAAGTGGAGGCCATTACAGACCAGTCCCCACCTGGAACATGGCTCCACTAATGCCTTAGGCCCAAGAGCCCCTGCAGCTTTGGTTATCCCACTGCACTTACCCCTCCCAGGCAAGCCGCAGAGTCCCTCCCTTTCCAAGAAGGCTCTGTTGAGCTCCCAGGGAGGCCTGATGGTTCCTCACCCACACCTCTGAATCCCCCTGAGGCTTTGCCCCGTGCAGGGGACTGTGATTCATTAGGCGGTGGGTTACGGTGGAGGAGGGGCAGCTTGGCAAAACAGGAGGCAAATATTTTTTGAGGGCCCACTATGTGCCAGGCTGATGACCAGAGGGAGGTTCCTGTTTGGCAGAGTCCTGGGCTTGGAGGGGAGGGAGGGGATGGAGGAGGGGAAGCATTTTCCAGCCTGGTTTTGGATGTACCTAGCTCTGTGTTTCTTTAACTTTCTCACCTGTCAGGAGAGGCGGGCATGAGGGGATATCTCAGGGCCCTGCCTGGGGGAGGCCCACTCACTCCTCCAGCCATTTCATCCAGTTGTGCCTTGTCGGGTGCTGGACCCCCTCCACCCAGCTTCTTCACATGTACTCGGCGCTCCCAAGGGGCCCCAGAACTTGCACGACCCACCCTCTTCCACTAACGAAGGGGTCCAGTGTCCTTCCCCTCCCACGAGTACCCATTCTCCAGGTGCGCCCTCTTCAGCTGCGACCCCACTCCCTCCTTCCCAGTCCTTTCTGCCTTCTGCCTGCGAGGCTGCCCTCCTCCTGCCCCCTTCCCAGCCCCCCTGCCCTTGGCCTTCTCTCCCATAACTGGAGCACCTGGGCACCCAAGGTACCCTCCCCCCAAGCTCAGCTGATCACACTCTCCCGCAAGCCGGCGGTCTCCTTCCTCCCTCCCCCGTGGCGCACCCAGCACCAAGGTGCCTACCGCGAGGGCCCGAGCACGGCGGTGCAGCCTCAGCTTGGGCGCCGGCTCCACCTGCAGGGCCGCGGGGGCGGAGAGCGGGCGGCGCGAGGGAGGGGCCTGCGACAGCCGCGGCGGCGGCGGCGGCGGCCCTAGCCCGCGCAGCCCAGCTCGGCCCCGGCTTGGTCGGCGCAGCGCAGCGCCGCGCGCGTCCCCTTGCCGCCGTCGCCGCAACCAGGCGCACCGGCACCAGGCCCCGCCGCTGGGCGCACGGACGCAGCGCGCACGGGCCGGCCGGGATGCGCGCCTGGGCCCCGGCCCGCCCGAACCCGCGGCCGCCGCCCGCCCGCCGCGCGATCGCTTGACCGCGGCGCCCTCCCCCGGCCGCCCCCGCCCGTCCCCCTGCCGCGATGCCCTCCCTCCGGGGCCCCGGCGGCCCGCGCCCCTGCTAGGCTGCGGCGGCATGGCCCGCGCGCCCGGCGCGACCTCTGCGGATTGCATCGGTGTGTGGCGGCGGGGCATGCCCAGAGCACCGGGCACGGCCTTCAATGGGCGAGGACACGGACACGCGGAAAATTAACCACAGCTTCCTGCGGGACCACAGCTATGTGACTGAAGGTAACGTACGTGTTGTCTGAGACCCCTCCGGCCGGCCGCGGCGTGGGGATGCCGTCGCACCGAATGCCCTCCGAAGGTTTGGACCGCGCGATGTGTGTCGTGTCCCCCCGCCCCACCCCATCCCACCCCACCCCATCCCACCCTGCCCGGGGCCCAGGAGGGAGGGAGCCCGAGGGTACCGGCCTCCACTGCCCAGCGCCCGGACAGGGCAGCGCCCTCCTCCGCGCCGCCCTCCGGGAGGCAGCCGCTCTCAGGCCAGGTGGCATCCTGATTCGGCCCTGACCATAATTTTTTAAAAGGCCATGCCTGTGGCTAATCTGGTGAAGAAATCTCGGGGAAATTTAATGGTTTAAAATCCTGGATTTGCAATTTCAGCCCTGCCAGGAGCCCGCAGAATTTTCTAGGCTGTCTTCTCCCTGGAGAAGAGGGACCTAGGGGGGGAAAAACATAATCCATTGCCAGATCCTCCTGGGAGGCCCGCCTGCCCAGGCCCCTCCCTGTCCTCCAGAGGCAGGGTCCCTGAATGGGAGGGAGAAGGCGGCTAGTTTGGGGCTGGCCTTTTTATTCCTGGTGAGTTATATTGAGACAGGAGCAGCTGGGCTAACTGTCGGGATTTTCCAAAAAGTGGGACATGTCATCCCAAATAGGCCCTGTTTAAAATCCCCTAAGTTGGCCCTACAAACCCAACCCCAACCCCCACCCTACCCAGAGGCTGGTGGGTCAGCGCCCCTCTCTTACAGGCCGGGAACTTCCGGGGCCCCCTGCTCTGCCTTGCTAGGGGAACAGTGGGGACAGCTTCCGCGCGCAGGCAGGGCCCGCGGAGTGACCCCGATGGAGAATGGGGACCGGGAGGTCTGGGCGCGGGGACGCCTGTGCTGGAGCCCTGCCCGGATGCGGGGACGGTCAGCCGCTAACCCACGGGCTGCTGGCCCGGCCGCAGAAGTGTGCGCGGGTTCCCTGGGTGGGTGCCCCAGTGGGAGGGGCCCTGGGCACGGGTCCCGCGGGGCAGGTGCGCGTGGGTGCCTGTGTCAGGGAGACCGAGTGGGCCGGGCGGCGGGGACCGGGCTCCTGCGGCTGGGTCCGCCTCCTCGAAGCCTGGCTCTGCCGGAAATGAGGCCGAGCGGAGCTGGAGCCCCGCGGAGGCCCGGGGAGTGCAGCGCGGGCGCGGGCGGGCTCGGGGCGCCCTGGCCCGGGAGGCAGAGGCTGGGCGTGGGACCTGGGCAGAGGGAGGCTGCGGGGGCCGCGCCCGCTCCCGGCGGGAGAACCGCTGAGTCACGCTTCGCCGCCGGGTGTGTGCGGTAGAGGGGCACGGCTGCCCGGGCCTCCTGGCCGGTGAGGCTCCGACCCGGCCGCGGCTTTGGGAGGCCGGGGGAGCTGAGAACGGCCCTTTGTCGCCCGCCTCGGCGAGGCTGAGTCGGGATCAGCGTGGGTCCGGGATGTGCTTTCTGCTCGCAGCCTGCAGCGACAGAGGGTTGGAGGAAGCCGCCGGGTTCCTGGCCCGTGCCTCGGTGGCCTGGCTCAGGCCAAGAGCGGATCTTGGCAGGTTGCCCCGCCGCTTCCTGCTCCCAGGCTCGCTGTGGTCTGGCTTCCTGGAGCAAGCCTCTGTTTGCTCATCTCTACGTTGGGGATGATGATGGGATGGGGTGCAGGGCTTGTTGTGGGACTAGGCGTAGAAAGCGCCATGGTGGACATTTTCAAACATTAATTCCCTCTGCACCCCGTCCATCCCCTTTTCTTTCATAAATTCACCAGCTCTCAGCAGGGGACAGCAACGGGGACGGCACAGTTCTGGGAGTCAGAGCAGTGCTATCCAATCCTTCATCCAGACACCAGATATTTACCGAGCACCTGCTGCGTGCCAGGCACTGTTTTATCCCTGGGGACTGGACAAAGACTCCCTGCCCTTGTGCGGCCTGTGTTCTATCAGGGAGCTATGTGACCTTGAGGTCTGTCTTCTCACCAGGGCTCAGTCTCCCCATCTGTGAAATGGGAGTGAATCCTGCCCTCAGGGTCTGGGGGTTTCTGTGAGGAGCAGGTGCAATGGTGATGAAGGAGCCGTTCGGAGCTGTGCATTGCTAACACGCAGCCAAAGGATGCTGAGCACCTGCTGTGTGCTGGGACCTCATTCGAAGGCCCACCTATGCCTTATCCCCACCTTTAGATGAACAAACCAAGGCCTGGCCTTGTCGCTGGTCCAGACGGAGTGCCCGTGTGTGCAGGGCATAGGGCTCAGGTGCTGCGGATGCAGAGAGCAGAATCGGAACAAGAAACAATCATCATCATTATAATAGGTAGAATTTTGGCCTCCCTGATGAAAAACACACTTTCACACTGTTGCATCCTGACTGTATTTTGTGCTCAGCGCACAGGGAAGGTCACAGGTTTGAATGTCAGAATGTCAGATTTGAATCGTGTTAAAATCCTGCCTCTGACTCCTGACTGCTGTGCAGCCTTGGACAAGTTACTACACCTTCCTGAGCTTCACTTTCCCTTTGTAAAGAGAGAAATAATAACGACCTTTCATACAGGGGGTTGCTGGGATGATCAGTGATTTTGCTAATACAGAAAGTGCCCAGCACAGTGCTTGGCTTGTTGGAGGCGTTTAACACATGGCATTGTTATTATTTATATGGCTTGTAACTGGAAGAGCCTGTGGGCAAATAGTGGATGCTAAAAAGCTCAGTTTGAGAAAAAACTAGGTGCACAAACTCCTGTTCTACCAGTGGTTGCGTCTACAGTCCCCCGCCACACCCCAGCTACTCTGATCTACCTCCTGTTCCTCGAGCAGGCCATTTTTCTTTCTTGCTTCAGGGCGTTTGCACCGGCTGTTCCTCCCTGGAACAGCCACCTCCTGCCTTTCTCACCACTGACTCCTTCTCATCCTTTGGGCCCCATGTCAAATGTCATCTTTGCCCACGGGAGCCCTGCTTGAGTTCCTGAGTCTCTTGTAAAATCTCAAACATCTTGGGAAGAGTTTAGGTTTTGTTAGTCCGTCACATGTTGGTGTGAATTAGTCAGAGCAGGTTGGATTTTTTTTTGTTTGTTTGGTGGCAGGGTTAGGGGGCTTATTCTTGGCTGGGCTCCACTGCACTGAGGGTTATGGTGATCGTTAGGTGCATATGCAGGCCACCTGGGGGCACAGAGAACTTTGCATGAATAGGGTCAGGGTGTGGGGAGAGCAGAGCAGCTGATAGGGCGCTGGACCCTGGAGGTTGCTAGGACGTCTCCATCTAGTTAGACAGTTCTCAGGAGCTGGTTCCAGGAAGGACTCTTCCTGGTTCTGTTCTTTCTCTTTTTGCGGCGGGCCCCAGTACTTAGCTTTAGGGTGAGTTGAATAAGCATTTCCAGACTAGACTGAACTTACAAAACCCATCCATCCTTCCTTTGCTTAGCACCATTTGCCAAGCACATCCTCCCCTGGGCAGGCAGTGATGACCAAGACACAGGAGCTCGGCCAAGGGGAGGTGGTTGAGGCTGACCAGGTAGATCCTGCTGTGACTGGGTCTGTCTGGGAAGCAACAGTCAGTCTCATGTGCCTGACAGGTAAGGCACTTAAGGAGCATGCTTTTCAGCTGAGGCCAGAGGCACAGCTTCCCCTCGTTTGAGCATCTCAGCCATCACACTCTGTTGGACACTCATGCTTTTTGCATCTGCAAAAGGATGTACCCATGTTTTCCTGACTCCCATCCCTAGATGTCCTGCGTGATTTCAGAGTAGTCTGTTTATTCCCACAGAGTTGTCCTCGTTTTATAGTTGAGGAAGTGAAGGGTGCTTGGGAATTGCTAAGGTCAGCATGGGGTCCTGGGCCTGTCTGAACGCAGCAGGCAGGCAGGTTTTCCTGCATGGAGTTGTCTGCAGGTTTTGAACTGGTTGTGCCCTGGATACCATCTATTTTCTGCCCAGGCAACCACACTGAAGAGGAGGTGCTGCTTTTGGGAGACTCAGCATTTAGTGAAATCTGCACCCTTATGGTGGACATTGCAGCTGATACCCACAACAGTTAGTCTCTCTTCTCCCAAGGAGAACACATATGGTTCCTAGTAAGAGATCTCGGGCCATAGCTGGATCTGATCAGTGCAAGGATGATCTCATTCCCCTTGCAGTGACTGGTTCCAGAATGGATGTGGGAGTCAGTTCTGGAGGTTGAGTGGAAAATAGGGAGAACCCAGGTAAGTTGGTCCCTCTCTTGTGATGGGAACAGGGAAACGCTGTGGTGGCTGGCAGCCATCCTGACACCATGAGGGCCAACACCATGGGGCCAACACCACTGATCGCAGGGCAGAGAGTGAGTGAGATCCAGGGCATTCAGGCCTGATGTCCAGCTCACCTCTGAACTTCCAGTTACATGAGCTGGTACTTTTCCTTTTCGTTGTGTACTTTCAAGTTCTGTTACTTGCAGCCAATGGCACCCCAACTCACACAGCCCTGACTTCCTATCAAGAAAACCAGGAGGCTGGTCTGTAACCCACAGCTAAGACTCGAGATACATAAAACCCAGAGGAATTTTTGTTTGCTTTCTGTTTTGAGAACCCTCTTTCATTTCACTCAAGTCGAGGTTACCAATTTCTTATTTTCCTTCCTCAGTCCTATTGAGGGGGTATTTTTGGCCAGATAAGAGAACCTAAGATCTGGTGTCAGGAGATCTGGGTTCCTGGTGAGGTCTGACCCTGGGTCTGTAATATTGGGCTGGTCATATGGTCTCTGTGAGCCTCAGTTTATTCTTAATAAATATAATCGGTAAGTGATGATGTCTATTCTTTAGGGGCCAGAGTTAGACTAGCCCTTAGAATTGTCATCGGACTGGCTAGCCCAACTTCCACCCCCAACCTATGGGGAAACTGAGGCTAAGAGGGGGGACATTAGTGGTGGCACAGAGGGAGATTAGGGAAAGTCAGCCTTTGACTTTTGAAAATCAAGATGTGGACTGTTCAGATTCTGTGTTCCTTTTGCTTCCGTTTGGAAATGCCACTTACATAAGCTTCCCTTGGGCTTCACAGCGGGTGTGGGCCCCATTTCAGTGCTGGGGTGTCCTCCGTCAAATCACTTCAGTTTCTGAGCCTCAGTTTCCCTGCACCA